ATCTGGATGTGTTACGGGTGATGTAACAAGTTCAGCAGGGTTAAAAGCCCAAAAAGTGAAACCAGATGCACGCTCTTATGAATACCCTGTTTATCATGGCAACACTGGATTCCACTGAGTGCTATGGTCTTACTATTACTTTTTTAATTTAAATTAAAGAGTCGCTTTGGTCTGAGACTGCATGAATGCCAGTTTTTGGCAAAGGTGACGCCTGTGACTGATTTTCTGTTTATGTTGTTTCGTTTTTACTGAGCTGAAATTTGGTGTCAAACATGATCTACGTCCAAGCTTACAGTAAACCACCTTCAAATTGCTCTAGAAGTCTTTTGATGAGTAGTTTGACTCAAACAGCAGCGTGATGTCATTTTCATTGTTCTTATGAAAGAAAAATTATGTTACATTTATCATTTTTATGCCAGGTCACAATTTCTGTGTTTGGAAGCGAAAAATACAAACAGACTTTACACAGACAGACCAAACATCGGCCGTACTGGAATTCCTGTGATACAGCACCACATGAAAGAGGTAGCTGTACTTCAGCAGAGGAATTCCTGTGGTGATGAATGTGATCCTGGGATACATGTGGTGTGGTATTTTTGTGGTATCCTGAGACGTGCTGGCCCTTTCTGGATAATTTACCATAAGATGTTTGGTGAGCAGTCTTACTGTAAAAAGGTTTCCTACGTGAATTCAAATACTGAAAGCTTGCTTGTCATTGCAGGGAAGTTAATCTGATTATATATCCTTTAACAAATAACTGAGGTTTGTCTTTGATTGGTGGCAGTGAGTAAAGCAGCTATTTTGGAAGGTAAATGTATTTGCTTTCTTGTTACATGTACCTACAGCTAAATACCCGTTAGCTTAGAGACAAAGGGGCTCAGCTGGTCTGTCAGACATATTTAGTTTAATCATTTCAAAAACTCAAGGATCAACAATCTGTTATGTTATGAAGGGTTATGTTTTAAACCTTTCAGCAAGTAGCAGCTAACAAAGATTGTCTTCCTAAACCAAACCAATCAAATTGAATTAAAATGAAGATAACACTCAAAGTCAGCTAAACTTCAGGGATGTCAATCTGTTCAGTTAGGAAGCAGAAACCTTCATGTGCTTTGGTGTAAATGAAAGTGGCAACAGGTGCACCAAAGAGGCAGCAACAAGACAACCTGCAGAAAGGGAGGGATTTGGCAGATGGAGGCCACAGACCATAGGAAGCTGCACGGGGCTGTAGAAGGCCATCGACCCGGCAGCATGACTGCTATCTGCTCTTTTGTGTGAGGAGAAACAGGAGGCACTGCCAGAACTCCATGGAATTACCTCTCCGTACATCCATCTGTGTCTCACAGCACAGTCACAATAGTGTGGAGGATATCAGGAAGAGAGCTGGACAGGGCCGTAGAAGGCCAATAACCTGGCAACAGGAGGAGCACATGGAACCAGAGCTCCATGAAGTGACCTCCAGCAGCCTGCTCATGTGCATGTGTCAGGTAGCAGTACGCTAACAAATATTTTTAATTTTATGCAGAAACACAGTTGGCAAAATATTTTTATTGTAGCTCTGGAAGCTTTCTCTTGGAATTTCACCTGTTCTAAGCGTTCCAGGTTCACTTTTCGTGTTGCCACAGGTCATTCAAATCTTCAGGCAACACTTTTTGGATCATGCAGAAACCATCAGCTTTTTTCTTACACTGTGGTCATTTGAATGCATTCCTGAAAGCTTAAACAAAAAACTATGCAGATTAAAGTTTTGGCATAAATCACATGACTGCCTAAAGTGGAACTCTCGGTCACCTTATACCAGGCAGTGTTGAATAACTGAGCCACAGCTGTGTTACAAAATGTCTTGTAGATTATTTTAGAATTTTTCAAAATGCTTTCAAGCAGGACTGGTGCATTTCCTGTCCCTTAGGTTTGCACATCAGTGCCGTTCTCTTTGTCTTTTCATCCCTTCATCTAAAAACATCTTCAGTCCCTTCATGGCTTCAGGCCCAGAATACGACTGTCTCTGTTTTCTCAGTTTAGCCTAATCTCACTTTGCTTGGACAGCTCATCAGCATCCTTCAGCGAGGCCAAACCTAAAAACGACCCGGGAGAGCCGAGGTGACGGCTGATCAGAAGAAGTAGAAGTGAAGAGAGACTCGCTAATGCTGGTGGAGTGATGTGAAGACAGCCGTGACCGTTGGATGGGAAAGACCGGCGTGAAAAATGGAGATATGAAAGACTTACATAATAGAGTCTGGTATGTAACATCATACAGTGCAGATGTCATGTTATCTTCTCTGCCTACGTTTCCCTCGATTAAACCTCAAACCAAGACTTTTGCTCCCACCTGGGTCATGAAGCTGACATCTTATAGCAAAATTTTATCACCCATCTTGTATTTATCAGACGTGAGTGCGATTCGCTCTGATCACATCGTACAGGAATGGCAGCTCCTTCCACCAGCCCACATGTTTCATAACAACCACAGCCCAAAGCGCCCTGACGGGCCCACCGTCCTCCGGGCATTCTGTGTACAGATTGAAATCATAACAAACCTCTTCCTCACAGAATCCCACCACATGACTTCATTCTGGGTGTGGGAATTATGGCATCCAATCAAAATAACCTTCTCATGACCTCAGTTTGGCTAGAGCTTCTTCTCCGATACCAAACGGAGAGGAATGACTTCATATGTGAGGAGGAAGAGGCCTGTCAAACAAATGGGCTTTGTTTTTCTTTGCGCTCATTCATGCTGATTGTCACAAATAAGGATGAGAAAAAGTTCAAAGCTTTGGGTTAGCTGCAGAGCGCGTGCACGTTAAGGTGATTTTGCATCTTCAGATAGGCCGCCTGGAGAAATGATTCATGACAACAGAAGTAAAGGAATCTGAAGAAGCAGAGAAGTGTATGCATGGGTTTATGTCCGCTGCAGCAAGGTTTCACTTTATGGAACAAAACATGACATCAGCACCACGCCCAGATAATCCAGCAACTGCTACTCCTGAACGCAACTGCTCTGACAAACAGGGAGTGAATGCATCAGTGTCCATCTGACATAACTCCTCAGGGAGTACGTGAGTCTGTTCGCCGCTGCCTCTTTTGTTTGCTTTGGTTTCCACATAGAGATAAGAGCGTCATTATGTGCACCGAGCCCTGCTCCTTGGTGACCAGACAGGACTTTCACTTTAGTAACAGAAAGACGCAGACCGCCATGACTCCTTGTGCATCACCCGTAACTGTGATTTGAAATCTTTAAACTTTCTGTCCTGGTCAGACAAGAAAGCAGAGGAGCTCTGGGTTTATGTTTCGGAGCATTACCATCACTCACTGCTGATCTCTGCCATGGGCCACATGCAAAGTGCTTTCACTTCACTGTTTACATTATCATAATTTACACGCATGCAGAATAAAGGACAGTTTATGCTCCTTACATTAGCGTATATGATATCAAATCTGAGAGCATATACTGGACTACTGCTGGCAAGATATTACAAAACCATCTGTATGAGCCGTGATGAACTGTAGCATTGAAAAGGAACCATTATGTCCTTAATGTGATGTACTGTTTTGAAAGGAGAGACGATGAGATTTTGCAAATATTTAAATATAGTTTTACTGCTTAGATATTTTACAGTTAAGACAAAGTTTTAAAGTTCAGTGCAGAGTTAGAAGAGCTGCTAGACACCTTTCATTTTGGCATTTCCTTTTCATTCAATAGGTCACATCTGTCTTCGTGCTTGATTCTAGAGTGAGGTGCCCTTTTCATTTTCACTTCCTGTTGGGAATCATGCATTCCTCTTCCCATCCTCTTCATCTTCCTCCATCCGTACTGCTCCTCTCCTCTTGCCTGGCCCCATCTCCGGCATCCCTGTCCTTAGATGTCCTCTGCCCAGATCCAAACCAGCTCAGACTCACCTATTTCGTTGTCTCTAAGCCTTCCATCCTACGCCATGTTTTACTTATTCTTTTTCATCATCGCAAATCAGCGTGTCAAGAAAATGTGCCACTGGTGCCGGGCTTTTATAACCAGTAAAGATGCACAGTTCCCAGCAGTAATGAGCTCTTCAGTTATGATCTAAACTACATGGACTAGATGTTGTCTTTGCTTTTCAGTATATATTTATTTATGCTGGACTTGAGAGCGAACTACCCCACATATAAAACAGGTAGGTGAACCAAGGTTAGGTTCATTTACTCACTCTGACTCAGCAGCACCCTGGCAGCAGCTCTTCCCATTGATGCAGAGCACAATTACCGCACCTCAGATTCTGCTCGCCTCCCTAAATTAGATTGTTTTCTGCAAGCAGGGCCAAAAAGACAGCCTGGCTGCCAAAGTCCTGGAGAGTTTGGCCACGCTCAACCATCCCAAGACGGCAATTGGCGGTTACTCGGCCACTGTTAGGGCTTGGGTGGCTGCTGTCACTGGACTTTCCCAGCCTGTGAGAATGGCACAGCACTGTTCAGCTGTCACCGAGGGTCAGCGGGGAGAGTTGGCTCTCTGAATGGCCGGCCAAAACATCTAGCATTCAGCTAGCCTCAGCTGCTAGTGGCACCCGTGCTGGCAGCAGTGGATGAGTTAAATATAGAAGTATACTTCTGGCTTTTGTGACTCTGGTCAAAAAGCACAGAGAGGGATGATGGTGGATGTGGCTTGGAGAAAAGATCTGGCCCTGTGACAAAGGACATCACAGTCCACCTCACCAGGCAACGGCCTCTTTCAGACAGAGCGGGAAGAGAATAGCGCATGCCCCCTTCCACACACACACACACACGCACGCACACACACACACACACACACACACACACACACACCGCTCATCAACTGGCTTCTTGAAGGGATAGGAGGGAAAGAAAATGAGAGGTGTGTGCTAGCCTGCTATGTGAAACAGAACTGGATAGGCTGTGGGAGCGAGAGAGGGCGTGTGTGTGTGTGTATCTGTGTGTATCTGTGTGTGTGTGAGAGAGAGGGAAGTTACAGTCCTCTGTTATTGCTCTCTACCATTCCCTTCTTGACCCGACGACCTAAAAGAAGAGAGGCAGGGAGAGAGTGAGAGAGCAGGGAAGCAGACACCACCAGTGGACCACACAAGCCAGAGGATACGAGTGGACTCTGTATTTCCTTCTTGCCTTTTATTATTTTTGATTCTAGGATTACTTGCTGTGTTTACTAACTGGTTAAACATTCTGGAAACATCAGAGCGGCAGGTGAGTGATCATCTCTTGCATCTCTCATGCTGGAGAAAAAAAATCTCTGCTATTTAGAGGGAAAGAGCCAATGACAAACATGCGGTTCTAGCAGAGTGGAGCTTATCAGCTGTTCTGCTTTCAGGCTGTAGTGAATGAAACGGCTGAGTGCAGGTGCTGCTGCTGCTCGGCTGTCATCAGTTTTATTGAGCCAGTAAAGAGCACTGGTCAAAAGAGTCTCCTGGCTTCATTTGTTCTGCAGTATGTGAATGAAAACACTATTCCCCACATTCCTGTGTGATTAATTCCAAATAATGAGCGTTTAAACATTTTGAATTAATTAGTGTGCGAGCAGACACACGACTAGTCTCTGTGCTGATAATGGAAATGCAGCACGTTCGGATAAAAGAAAGTCATGAATCAAACATTTCTCAATGAATTACACGTTGTTACTGTGTGAATGAGACCATTTACTGTAAAGAATGTGGGCATGTGGGAGGAAACACCCACAACACAGCAGGGCATGGTGGTTTATTGAGATATTGCAAAGAAATGAGAATGATATCGTACACATTCACACAGTCGACCTTTGCCCCCGACGTCTCCCACACGCGCCGCCTTCGCCTCCTCATGCAGCTCTCACTGCTGCGCTGCTCAGCATTAAGAAGCTTAGGCCCGACGAGCTGCAGCACGATGACATCTTTCATCTGGAATATTTATGGGATGTAATGACACCGAAATGAATTCCATTTCATTCACATGAAGTCACCAGTGTTTAGGAGGAGACACATGGCTCCTGCCAGTCGCTGTTTGTCAGGCCATACGTCACCCTGTCTCAGTAAACTGAAAAGAAAAATGTGAAATGCGCCTCGGTCTCTTCAAGGCCAGCTCCCGCTGATGAGTCGAGGGTTTTCTTTCCTCCTTGAGTGTTCGAGACCGCAGCGCAGCCTCTCCCTTCCTGCCTTCCAGTGGTACCAGCCCTGCCTCAGGACAGAGAGACCCGGTGCAGAGAGATTGCTCATTAACATTTCTGTGCTTGTAAGTCCTCTTTACTCCTGCACACTCTCAGGATAGTCTGTGAAATTCACCGATGGAAGGAGTTCTAATGATATTTCGTGGGTTATTGATAGTAAAGCATACTTAAAGCTACTCTGTGGTCACACAGTCACTGCAGTGCGTTATTGTTATTCCTGCAGTGTTACTATGTATGTTGCATGCTGCTGATGGAGTGGCTAAGCTCCTCCTCTCGCACGTGACCGTGGCAGGTTGGGGCTGGAGTTTGATTCTTCCTGTTAAAAAGACGTTTTTCCTTCCCACTGTTGCCAAGTGCTTGCTCATAGGAGGCCATCTGATTGTTGGGGTTCTCTCTGTATTATCATGCAGTGTATTACCTTACAATATAACATTGTTGTTGTGATTTTACGCCATAGAAATAAAGCTGATTCAATTCGGGATTGTTTTTAACTCTTTTTTCTTACTTTTTATTTTTTTATATGTAAAACATACACAGACTTGGCCTAATATATAAATAGATATAACAGAAGCATAAAGGTTTCTAAAGTAGAACAAGAACCCTGAACATGTATTTTAATGCAGTACTTGAGTAAATGTACTCAGTTACATTTGGCCACTGTAGAAATTCAGTCAGCTGAATGAGCAATCAGAAGAGACAGATCTGTGACTGTAATCAGTCCCAGCTTGTTAATGGATCAGTCTTTGTGTAAATCAATAATGCAGTCTCTGATTAACTGAAACTAAGCTGAGGCTGGGTCTCCGCCAGAGCAGCATTGATTCGTGTGTCACCTCACGACATCACTTGAGCTCTATGTCACTTAAGGTGTTTCTCTTGCACAAGGTGACATAGTTTAGCAGTGAGTACACAGTGGTACACATGACAGAACAGCATTGTTCCAGGATTAAACGTTGACACCGACACCTCAGCACCCTGTAAATGTTGCTTATCATGATACCGTTCTTTATACTTGCATCGATATGCACCTGTACCTCTATCTTGTGTGTTCGTGTTCATGTGGGCTAATTCATTTTATGACACGTGCACTAACAGAAACAGGAGGCGGAGCTTGTTCCGCCAGTAGCCGGTGTCTTTCCTGCGTGTCTGGGGGGCCTCGACAACAGCTGTCACCGACACATGCACAGCTACAGTCGTATAAATGCCCCTGGTCTTGAATTCCAAAAATGCAGTTTAGATACTTCGGGATGTTTTGCAGAACAGCGGCACTTATAACTCATGTGCCCTTCATTTAAAAATAAGCCCAGAACTCCATGGCAACCCAAGATATTCTAAAGAGCACTTGATATGTTGTGGTCAGAATGGCGACGCATACGTGCTAAAAACAGGGGACTGGTTAACTGGCTGTTGATGTTTAACGATAATAAGACGAGTGATGTCATTCATTAGGTTCGGATCTTTGGACCATGATGTGCCTGGACCGCTCTGGCATTAAATATGGATTGCATCAGGAGACATTTCAAATTTCACAGCTGGGAACAAACCTCACGACCCATTCTGTAAACTTTTCCCCTGTTTGCCAGTAGTGACATAATCATGACTTTCCTGGTGATTTCCTGTGTGATAAGTTACACCAGCCTTCATCATTCCAGTGATATTACTGGTCAGGAGAGAACAAACCAGCATATACAGTAAAACATCTGAAGGCACCTTTAGAATGAAGATGACTGGCCTCTGTGACTAAGACAGGCCGTCTTTGTCCCTGAACCAATCACTCTGTGACTCCACACGTCTCTCAGCGAGTCAGAGCTCTTCTCTGACAGACGTGTTATGCTTTAGTTTATTTTTGTCTCACCTGCAACAATGCTTTTCATTTTTTCCCATCTGTAAAAAAGGTAAACAACTGACAATGGCACCAGCACAAGACAATGCAAATGCTCACTTACAAACTTAAATGGGTAGCAGTTTGGAGATTTGTGGTTAGCCATGTGTTACATTATCATTCCGAGCGCTGCGACGTGCGATAGCTTAGGTTTACTGGAAGGCCAGCTGCAAACTTTAAACTTTAAAGCTGAAATTTCTGCCCACTGTTTTCCCGTCCACACATATTTAATCTCTCTGACCTTTGGAGCCTTTTTACCTCTGTTTTGGTCTCCACACCCTCCTCAGATAAAATATCTGGGTCGCTGAGTTGCTAAGCTCAATTTTCATCTCCAGCAACAGTTACTTTTACACCTTTGGTAGCGGTGACACATTTTTATCAACATTTTCTTTTATTAATTTGAACGATTAAAAAAGCTTCTGGGTGCTGTTGGTGTGACTGAAGAGGATAGTAGACGCAGGACAGAATGGAGGGAGGAGCCTTTGTGCCTGCCAGGTTTTTGTGATTGTTCTGCAAGTCGCCACCCTGGCATACAGCTGGGATCAACAGGGGCTCAAGAAGTAGAGTTGGTCACTTACCCGTCGGAAGGTCGATGTTTATTTTACAGCTACTCCAGTCCAGTGTGTGTGTGCACAATTGTCAGACAAAGCTCTTAGGTATAGAAAACAGTGTTTGCATGAATATGTATGAAACTGGGTGAATGAGGTTTGCAGTAGAAAAGGACTTGGAGTGCTCCAGTGCACCATATCAGTACCAGTCCAATTCCCAATAAATTCCAGAACTCTAATGGTTGGAGAAGAGCTGCAAGTTAGCACAAAAACACTGTTCTCTGAACAGCTATGAAAACATGTTATGGAAACCAAACAGACGTTTGATGTGTGCTTTAAGATGACTTTCTAAGTTCTCTCTCAGTCGCCCATTTTTTGCTCCGCGCTGACTTCAGCTGGCATTCAGAGGATTTTAGACAAATGGCCGAGCCTATGTCTCTTTCCCACGTTTGAATGTGCTTCATCCATATGTTGCTGTTTCTATTCATAGCACACTCAGAACTTAATATCTTCCTTAAGAGAGGGTAAAGATGATAACCAGATCTAGAAAGATCTAGTGCTTCATTAGTTGGTGTTGGTTTACCGATGCTGCCGCTAGACTTTAGCAACGAGAGTCAAGTGACTCTTACTAAATGCCGTTGCTATGGGAATCGTTAAAATGTGAACGTTTATCGTCGTGTTTGAAACTATGTTTCTAATAGACTATGTCTAATCTAAGTGTGCTTCATGTGCAGCAGTGTTTATAATGCATGACCCAAATCTGAGCATGTTTCATCTCGCTAGGTTCGCCGGTGGATTTACACAGTAAGAGTGAATAAACAGCTTGAGTGAATATTTAACAAAGTGCCCTCACAACAACTCTCACGAATGCGTCCTGTTTTATAAGTGACTGATTAACGGCCTACCTGCGCTGAGTGTTTATCAAGCAAAGAGCGTGTTTGCTCTAATAGCAAAGACTTACTTAGAGAGCCACCTGCATTCTTCTCGGTTTGCTCACTGTTCAAGCTTCGGCTGGTTCCCATGAGGGGATCAGGTTAATGTGACATCAGGAGAATACTACAAGATGAAACCCACCACCTATGCTGACATTTTGCTCCAGTGTGCTATGCCAGCATTAGTTAAGTATTAATAGAAGCCATGATTACAGTAAGACAAGCTGTAAATGCTCGCGTTATGTGCACAAAATCTTTTTGATGGTTCAGTTTAACATTACAAGAAGAACGTTTATGAAAGCAGAATCTTTAAGGAATGTGAACAAGTATCACTCCAAACTTTTTCTGCCAACAGAGTCTTTAGTTTTCCCAGGAAAAGACTGTTATGTAAAATTTGACCCGTGAAGGCCACCGGCCGTCTCGGCTCGAAGGCTCCGTCTCCCAAAATGGATTCCTGGAGCAGACTGCGGCTTTGTACCCTTGCATCCTCACAAAAGTTTCAATAATAAATGGATTGACTGGTAGCTTCGAAACCCATCCGCAGAGACGGTTTTGATTGGAGCTTTCATGTCTTGGCAGGGCTGGTGTGTTTTTCTTGCTGCTCGAGCACGCTGCATTTTATCTGTGTTCTCTGGCAGAACTGGTACCCTAATGCTCTCGTGCAGTTCTCTCTCCTTTTTTGGTCACGC